TTCGGACAGCGCTGGCTCTTTGGCTTTGAAACGGAGATGAGCAGCGCCCCCTAGAGTTGGGAACGACTGGCACATCTGTGCGAGGGGAACCTTTACCTATCAATGCTCCAATTCTCAGCCCTGGTTTCTGTTTTGTGGGAGAATTCGGATTTATAAAAATGCTGCCTCACCTCATTTATAGAATTAGGAGGTAGTTGAGCCATTACAGGTTATTTTAGACTTCCAGCTGTTCATTTAGGGACATATGACCATTCTTCACACTTAATGACCGTTGCAGCATCAGGGTCAGGCGATCAAAATCCACACCCTTGGCAATTGCTTCGTAGTTATGACCGTTGCAGTTGCTTTGGGGGGGGAGGAAACATAACAAGTGCACAGATTCAGTTAACAACGGCGGCAAGGGGGGGAAAAACGGCACCATTTCCTTAACGTCTGTCTCGCTTAGCAACAGGTAGGTAGGTCTCAATTGTGGTCGTAAATCGAGGACTACCTGTATAAGGATTGGGGAATTCTGCTTCCCTCCCAGCTAGAATTAGCTGAAGCCTTTTTTTGGGAGGTGATTTTCCTTTATCTTTTATTATTGTTTTTCCTTGCTCTCCTGCCTTTAGCAAAGAATCTCAGACAGTGGAAAGTTTTCTCTGTGGTTTTCTAACGTGTTTGTGTGTTTGTGTGTGTGTGTGTGTTGAGAGAGGATTTTTCAGAGGCATCGTTCAAGAACATCTGTAGGGTTTGACTCCCTATCGGCACCAAGTGGGCTGTTTGGCTCACAACTTCTGTTTCATAAGTTGTTTTTGCACACTTGGAGATAAAACTGAAGCCTGCCAGCTCGGAATTTGCAATCAGGGTGAAATTTATTACAGAAGATAAACCCAAATAACAGAGTGGGAAGGGACCTTGGAGGTCTTCTAGTCCAACCCCCTGCTCTGGCAGGAAGCCCTGCGCCATTTCAGACAAAGCCTTGTCCAGTCTCTTCTTGAAAACCTCCAGGGATGAAGCACCCACAATTTCTAGAGGCAAGCAGTTCCACCGGTTAATGGTTCTCACTGCCCAGGAAATTTCTCCTTAGTTCTAAGTTGCTTCTCTCCTTGATTAGTTTCTATCCATTGCTTCTTGTCCTGCCTTCAGGTCCTTTGGAGAATAGCTTGACTCCCTCTTCTTTGGGGCAGCCCCTCAAATATTGGAAGACTGCTATCATGTCTCCCCTGGTCCTCCTTTTCATTCAACTAGACATCAGCCTGCTGTACAATTTCTCCTAAATTTCCTTCCTTGCCCTGCTCTCTTTCCCTTGCAATTTTTGTATGGCCTAATTTGTTCCTTAGACTGGCGTCTTTCTTCAGTTCCTTGGCATTACTACCTATTGTTTTCCACCAATTCCTGCTTTGCAAGCCGTTTCCTACTTCCTTTAGTTACTTTACTCGGAGTCTTAGCTGGCTGCTTAACTCTTTCAACTCTGCAGCTTCGGAAAAAAGGTGCAAATAATTGGCTCACCTCCCTCTTTAGTGGTTTTTAAAGTGGGGGGGGGGGAAATTACTGAGCCAAGGTGGCGCAGTGGTTAAATGCAGCACTGCAGGCTACTGCTAGATCAGCAGTTCAGCGGTTCAAATCTCACCAGGGTTGACTCAGCCTTCCATCCTTCCGAGGTGGGTAAAATGAGGACCCAGATTGTTGGGGGCAATATGCTGACTCTCTGTAAACCGCTTAGAGAGGGCTGAAAGCCCTATGAAGTGGTATATAAGTCTACTGCTATTAAGGTTTGCCTTGAAAAAAGAAGAGTTTGAAATTGTGCAGAGCCACAAAGCTGTCGCTAAACATGTTTCTAAGTGCGGATTTAAAATAAAATTATTCTGGAAAATATAGTGTTTTCAAATGGCTGTTTCTTTTCTTGTTTCTTTGGTTTTATATTTACATCCTAGAAAAACAGCAAATTCCTGTTCTTGTTTTTGAAAAGCCTTAAGGCTGCAGCTGTAAACAAGTTCCGGAAAAAAGTTTCCAATCTGAAAAACTAAAACTTTGGCTGTTAGGATGGGAAAAAAAATAATAATCTAATCTTTGTGCAGCGAAGATGATGGGCCAGGCCAGGATGCAATTTAAATCAACATTAAGCTAGGGGGAAAAAAAATATTGTTGCTTTTTTTCCCCCCCTCCCGGATGTGAAACGGTTTCAGTTTTTATAACCCTATTTGTGGCCTTATTGAAAAGGAGAAAAAAATATATATTTCTGGCCAATATGGAAGAAAAATATAGCTTGCTTAATCGCTCTCATGGCGTTGCGATCATCTGTGATAACCAGGTAATTTGCTAATGAGATTTCTTCACTGTCTTGTTTTTTTCCTTAAATTCCTCTTTGTTATTCTTCTCTTTCTTCTTTGGCTTTTCCTCTTTCCTTCCTTCTCACCTGAGACCTGTTTTTTTTGCTTTTGGATGTGAATTTTAACTCACCTGGTGAACTTTTTCTCCCCAAATCTAGCCGGCCAGCGAAACGATGCGGTATTTTAGCTCAGTGGTTTTTTTTGAAACTTAGCCACTTCCAAGATGGGTGGACTCCAACTCCCAGGATTCTCCAGCCAGATATATAATCACAGGAAGGGACCTGGGAGGTCTTCTAGTCCAACCCCAGGTGGCATACGTCCAGGTGAACGTATATCATCCTGCTTCAATGGTCAAATTCCCCAACCAGCCAAGCTGAAGTTGGGTTGTGAACGCAGTGGTAGCTGCACAACCTACACAACTCCGTTTAATGACCGAGTGGCCATTCCCAATTGTGGTTGCTAAGTGAGGACTACCGTACTTGTCTTGGGATTCTAGCATTATTCATTATAGAAAGCGAGGCCCTGTGCTCTGCCCTGCCTCAGTTAAAAGTTGTTTGATTTTCCAGTTCTTTCTCTGATGGCTACAAATTGTAGCGGGGGGGAAAAACAAGAGTTTTGTTGTTGTTTTGAAAAGCAGCATGATTAAACAAACTTGAAAGACGCTGGCATTGATGATGTTACCTAGTTGGGTCAGGAAACGTCTGCAAGAAAACCACCCAAAAACCGTCACAGTTGAACCCTGAGATGTAAACATTCTCTTCTATCTTTTTTTTTAATCATCTCTCTTTTTTTTCTTTTTTAATTTTATTCTTTGGGTCTTTCTGTATTTCTTCTTCGACTTCCCTAAGTTCTTTTTGCATTCATTCTTTTGTTTTCTAGTTTTTCCTCGCCACAATCGTAAGGCCTCTTGTGTATGCTTTCATAGTATCCCAGAGATTTTGAATCGAGGTGTCTTCTTTTTTAATTTATTCTAAAGGATAAGTTTTAATTCTTTCTCCAGCACTGGAGGGTATTCTGTTTCATTGGCAATATTTGAATTCATCCTCCATCTTTTTCTTCTTCTTTGACCTTTCTGTCTTAATTTTATTGGATTATGATCTGCCCACTCATGTGCTTCTATTTCAATCTTTTTTTAAAAATTTTTTATTTTATCAATGTCATATATACATTCACAATTATATGATCTCATAACTGTTATTAATAATATGTATTTATAAC